TGCATGAGTTTTCCCCCTTATTTCTTTGTATTTAATATTTTGGGTTGCTGGGATGTGTCCCCTCCTGAAACACCACCTTACCTGTCACTACATGTAGTTTTTGTTTGCTAATTGTCTAGCTTTTTTATACAGTGTTGGTGTATCTCATGGATAGCTCCCCAGATTCACAGAAATGAGGATCTGTACCTGCTGGGGAATCACAGGGAGAAACAGTGATTATGAAGTTGCTTCTATGTCAGCCTGACAGAAGAATATGAGAGGCTAGTACCTTAGTAATATCTTTGTGTAAGATTTTACCTTAAAGTTACTGTAAGTAAACATACTCAGAGCAATCCTCCACGTTTAGCAGTGACAATATAACCCAGGGTTGGGCAAACATTTTGGCCCAAGGGCCACATCTGGGAATAGAAATTGTATGGTGGGCCATGAATGCTCACAAAATTGGGGTTGGGGTGAGGGCTCCAGGGTTGAGCCAGAAATGAGGAGTTCAAGGTGCAAGAGGGGGCTCCGGGCTGGGGAGTGGGGTGCAGATTCAGGGGTGGGGCTGGGGGATGAGGAGTTTGGAGTGTAGGAGGGTGCGCCGGGCTGGGACCAAGGGGTTTGGAAGGCAGGAGGGGGATCAAGATTGGGGTAGGGGGTTGGGGCATGGGGAGAGGCTCAGGGGTGCAGGCTCCAGGCGGCGCTTACCTCAAGCGACTCCCGGAAGCAGAGGCATGTCCCTTCTCTGGCTCCTATGCGAGGCGCAACCCGGCGGCTCTGCATGCTGCCTCATCTGCAGGCACCTCCCCTGCAGCTCCCATTGGCTTCAGTTCACAGCCAATGGGAGCTGCAGGGGCGGCGTTTGGGGCAGGGGCAGGATGCAGAGCGGAGGCCCCTGACTGCCCTTACAATGAAGGAGCCGGGGGGGGGGGGGCATGCTGCTGCTTCCAGGAGCCGCGTGGCGCGACCCCTGACCCTGCTCCCCGGCTGGAGCGCCAGAGGGGGGCCATGCGGCTGCTTCTGGGAGCCAGCTGGAGTGGGGCAAGCCCCAGACCCCACTCCCCAGTGGGAGCTAGAGGACTGGATTAAAACGGCTGGTGGGCTGGATCTGGCCCACGGGCCGTAGTTTACCCCGGTATAACCTGTCATCTGGAGGGAATTTCTGAGAAGGCGTCTGTGTAATCATTCACTTACTGAAACACTCCACAGCCTATTGTGGACTTCTAGAACCTGGATACAACCAGCAGCGGCTCCAGCATGTACACATCTGCATTATACGCCCATGTCTGCCGGTTGCTCTCCCCTATCTCTGCCAGCATGAAGCATTCCTTTAAACCTTCAAACATGCCAATATGGACACCCAAAAGTGTGATGGCTGCCATGTTGGCCAACACCAGTGATTGAAACAATAACTTTGAGAAATAAAAGCATGAGCCTTTATGGCTTGTGCTGAAGAGCCACATTCTCACGGTGAGAATTGTTACAGACTCACATCTTCTCTGGGTTGGGCACTGAGGGGACACAACGTACACTTCGACCAATGGGCTATAAGCAAAGTGAGAGAGAGGTGAAATGCGAGACATGTATTTTGGCGATTCACACTATATTTACAGTTTGTCATAGCTTTTAGGTACAAACCTGTTTTAAAGACGGCTTTTTATTGTGTGAATCACATGCGACCATGCTAGCCTTCATATAGTCCAGTAGCAGGATTTGAATTCTTTGGCCTTCAAATCCCTAGCTTAGGCCTTTACTTTTTGAGCTACAGAAATAATTACTAGTCCTGTTCTAGAACAACCACTGGAAGAGGAATTGACACACACTAACAATGGATTACATAACTGTTTACCAGTCAGCAGTAGAATATTGGAAATTAGGAATCCTGAATTCTATACTTGGCTTTGGGTGAGGAGTGTGGTTTATAGTAGTTACAGAAAGGAAAAGGAAATCTGGTTTACTCACTCTGAAAGGAAGCAATGTGATGCAGTGGACAAGATTGGGATTTGTCATATTAGAGGCCTAGATTCTCTGCTTGCAGAGGGCAAGGGGGAAGTGTTTCAGCACCTCTTCCCTGCCTTCTAGGTTGGGGTTTGTGGGTGTAATCAATCATAAGGGTAGTGAATTGCAAGAGCACTTAAAATAGACTATACACACTCCTGCTCTTCTCTTTCCCAGTTCAGGAATTTTCTCCTTCCCAAAGCCAATATGTCACCAAATTAAAATTTGACATATCTTTTGTTATGACTAAAAAGTAATAAAATATTCTATAGCAGGGGTAGGCAACCTATGGCACATGTGCCAAAGGCGGCACGCGAGCTGATTTTCAGTGGCACTCACACTGCCTGGGTCCTGGCCACCAGTCCGGGGGGGGCTCTGCATTTTAATTTAATTTTAAATGAAGCTTCTTAAACATTTTAAAAACCTTATTTACTTTACATACAACAATAGTTTAGTTATATATTATAGACTTATAGAAAGAGACCTCCTAAAAACATTAAAATGTATTACTGGCACACGAAACCTTAAATTAGAGTGAATAAATGAAGGCTCGGCACACCACTTCTGAAAGGTTGTCGACCCCTGTTCTATAGACATACACAACTGTGTAACTGATATTCTAAGAATCAATAAACAAGGAGCAAAAATGTACCCAAAAGACAGATTGCACAGTATTTTAGGTTTCTTGCAAAAGGGGTACAAAGAAAAGCGGGACAATCTTGTGGAAAAAATCACCAGGATGATTTTTTAACTCTGTCTATATCAATTAATTTTTTTAATCAAACCACCATGAAAATTTCAAAATGCTCAAAGTTTATATTTTTTGCCATTTTTGAGATTTTTACAAATACAAGTTTAAAATTCTTCTTAAAACTGTAATGCAATCTTAACTATGGCACAGCTACCACTATACCATAATAGACTTTTATACCACCTGCCCTCATCCCCATAGTATGTGAGCACCTTCCAGTAGTACATGGAACATGACTAACATCTTTCTTTTGTAGTTTGTTCTCTCGCTCTCAACCTCTTCCCCCAGAGAATTGTGTGCAATGCAGTATTTCATTTTGGTAGAGTTTTTTGTTTGTTTAATACACATATTTATTAGAAAAGACAAGGTGGAAGAAGTGGCACTTAGAGGGGAAGGTGCTAAGGTTTCTGCTGATTAGTTCTTTTGAGAATTTGTGCCACAGTCTTGGACTCGTTGCTCAGAAAACTGTCTCCTGCACAGACAAACTTTACCTTATAGCAAAATGTACCTATGTGCCCCAAGCCATGGGCAAAAGTAGTTTGGTGGAGAATACTGGAGGAGTGCAGGAGGGAGATCCCTTTTCCAAGTTCTGGGATTCCTTTAACCTTTTGAAAAAATGCCTGCACCGGGTTTTAGCAAGTAAGGGACTAGGGATTTTATTGGAAAGCTAAGTTAGCTTTGCGCACCTGTGTGGCACATTCAGGGTTTATATAATAACTCAGAACTTAGCTGTGTTTTCTATGAGTAGCTGGGCAAATTTTAAACAGCAACAACTCTAATTTCTTCACCCCATATTTCTAAACTGTAGTGAATCATGTACATTGCAGAGCAAGGTCTATATCCGTACAAAGTTTCACATGTAACAGTTCATCTGTTTTTGTGATACAAATAACTTGCACTATTATTAAATAGGAAAACTTGCTTTTTAAGCTGTACAGAACTCAGATTTGACTGAAGTCTGCTCCAATTAATCAAAAGAAACTTTGTGTTGGCAATAAACATGAAAAAGTTCAGCTCAAGAGGCAAAGCTTTCAGAAAGTTTGAATGATTGAAAAAGGAGGTTTACAGTAACTTTTATAACCTTAACTAAAGCAGTTGCTACATGACCTTGCTACAGTACTGCAGAGGTTCTTCCATGCATGCCTAGATCTTGTTGACACTAGATTTTTTGCCAGTATAACTACTCTGGCAAATCCTCGTAGTGGAAACATAGCTTATACTGGGAAGAGTTCCCTGCATGAAATAAGCTATATAGGCAAAAGGAATTTTTTTTGCTGGTATAAGCGCATCTATGCTAGGGCTTTTGCCCGCATAGCAATGTTGGTTAAGTTGTGATTTTTTCCACACTCCTAACCAACACAGCTCTGGTGGTGGTAAACCTTTTATGCATAGACCAGACCCTAGTCTCCTCTGGTTACCAGAGATACCCCTAGTGCTTTCCAACAAGCATTATTGTAAAAGTTGATGTTTTTCCTCTCTGCTTCAATGAAACTATTAGTCTCAGGTTGGTTGGAGGCTAGTCATTTTGGAACTATTACAGTTATACATCCATCAACAAAAATAAAAAATCAGAAAGTGACAGGTAGGAAACATGCATGAAAGTTACATATTGGAATACTTGGCAGTCAAACTTAAATGAAAGAGTGAGCTGTTTCAGAATTGGCTAGAGACTGATTCTAATTTTACCCAAACCGGTTTCTCTAGCTTGTTTGTTCCTTGTTTCACCTTTGCTCCCTTTCAAGGCTTGTTCAACTTTTCTAAAATGTTTATGATTGAAGTGTCTCCTGCTGCCTTTTATAATCCATGCTGTAGCATTATACCTTTTAGGTATTTTATGAAGTCCCACATACTGTGACTACAGTGACCCTTTTCTTAAAACTTCTGCTATTGTATTAGCAATGATTCAGCTCCTGTGCAGAAAAGATATCAGATAGGATGGGCACTGAGGGGACACAACATGTGCACACCCATACTGCTCAAAACAAGCTTAAACAATACAGTGGTAAAGTTAGTTGCCGCTGGCACCTACTCTATGCTAGTGCTTCCATTATTGTGCAGGACAGAAACTCTCTTTTCTGTATTAGGACAGTACTGAGCACACTTTTGCTGTTACTGCAATCTAAATAATGATTTGACACTTGTAATTTTATTCCTTATATTTCATTTGGGCTTAAGGGGGAAATAATGGTATATCATGAAAATTAAAAGCCAGTTTTTACAAAACAAAATGAAAATAAATGATGAAAAGAAGCCTGGAAATTAAAGACATATCTTAGAATAAGTTGTTGATATTGTATTTATGTATATAAGTCATTCACTCATGCAGTTTTACAATTAATATGTAGACAGGCTTGCTAATATATTGCTTTAATCAGTTACTTAACACTATAACTCTAAAGTAGTAATTCAGTTTCAGAGGGGGAAAAAAAAAACCAAACTATCAATTGTCTGTCTTGGCAAACCTATTACTTTCCATATTAAGGACTGACAATATTATGACAGTTGGTATGAACACAGCGAATCTCATGGTACACCACACACCATGCATCAAGGACTAAAGCCAATAAGGGATGTTTCATAAGAAAGTAATCAGTAATATGCTTAACTGATTCGATCTTTCAACCAATATAATTGGTTTCACAAAGTTAAAATATCTTAAAATAATGAACAAAATAACATAGGCATAGAAATAATCTCAGTGATTCTAATATACATTTATGTACAGTTTAAGGACCTGATCCTTCAAACATCTATGCACATAAAATTTACTAACATTCAGCAGGATTACTGACATGAAGTCATTCATGTGCATGCTAGCACAATCAGACCCTAAAATATTCCCATAATTTAAATACTTCAAAAGTAAATAAACACTTTTAAATGACATGGCTAAACCAGAAAAAATGGATTTTTTTTCTTCTTTTTTTGCTGCACCAATTTTGCAGAGCAATTTTTTCCAAAAAGTTTGCAAACTGAGGAACATCTTTTACTATATGTAGGGGTAAATGATATTTGAACAGGCAAGGACAGGAACCCAGTATCAGAGACTATAAAACAGTGTATATCCTGCTTTAATATTGGAGCAACCAACCAGAAACACCAACTTCATAACTTCTATTTTAAGTATAAAATACATTTTGAACATTTTTATTCCTATACTGTGATGGGGCAGAAAGACAGGGGAATAAACATCACAAAACTGAGTCTTACACACGTGTACCTGTTACTGGCTGCTTTTTATTTGGTTGCATGCTTCAAGGTTTTCCTGTTATAGAAAGCATGAAATAATCTAGGACTAATCTATCTGAGGGACTATGTTACCCTACATGCCATATTGAAAATAGGAATGGCAGAGATGAAACTGTTGGCCATCCATGGCATTGTCTCAAAAGAGAAAGGATGAGGCCTTTGCTTCAGAGAGCCCATGATCCTTGAATGCTCTTCCTCAACAATACGCAGCAGACTACATAGGTGGCAAGACTCAGGATATTTGCTTCCTTTTTAATTTCATAGGTTTTGGAGCGGACAGTTTTCTTCTCCACGTTTTGGGCTGAGTTGTGGTGTTGGAGGAGCAGGGTTGGGCTCCTTTGTATTTGGGGTTGGGCTGGGTGCAGTTACTGGTTTTGAATGTGCTAACTTTTCTATTTAGTAGGTGCTTTTGGTTTAAAATATTTTTTGTTAGATGCCAGAAGCCTCCAGTATGGGGTACCACAGATGTAAGAAAGTATTACTCTATTTTCCCTCCCAAGTTTAACATCTTATTAGTCATAAGCCGTGACATTGTACTTCGTTGATTTACATTTTTTTAAATAGTTATTTTGCTGATGTTAAAAGCATTGAAGCAAGATGGAAAATGGTTTATGGACTCCAACACTAAACTTCCATAATACTTAGCCAAATGATTATCATGGAGAACATGGCACCCAACACGGACATGACTAAAAACCTTGTGAATTTATTTTCTGACACACAAGTGGACTATTAACTTGGTAGACAAGGGGGATGAAACGTATCTCCTCTCTTTGTCCTAAGTGCATGCTGTTCACATTGAATTACAGAAGCAAAGACAAGATCAAATGGTCTTCATTCAAGTACTGTAGCTGATGATGAGTCAATGACTCGGTTCTGAAATAACACACTGGTATTAAGGGGAGCCCAGGCACCCGTTAAAGTAGTGTACCCCGCTCTGTGCCCCCAACCATTCTTCCACACACCCCTAAGTTTGGGAACCACTGCTTTAAAAACTATTCATAACTTCTCTGAATGCAGGCTAATTCAAGCTACAAGTTCCCTTTCAAGAAACAAAAGTAAATCATGACCCGAAAGTCAACATTCCATGAATGTGTATATAGCATTATGCTTGCCGTAATCATTTGCCAGAGTTCCTTAAAGGGATAAAATGTATAACCATCTCAGAAAACTTAACAGTAATTCTATTTTAACATTAACAAAAAAGACTGTTATAATTGTTATATTTACAGTATATACATATTTACATACTTTTGTTAAATACTAGAGTTGCAGAAAAAAATTGCTGTACAGAATGGTTTTTCTGCATTTAAATGCCCCTTATAGCGTTTTTTTTCTGTGAAAAATGAACAGTCCTTTCATGCTCCTTTGTTGATTAGATACAGTCTACATTCCGTAGGCCACCATCCACAATCAAAGCACCAAATCTAAAGTGAAAGAAACATTTTATTGTTAGCTGATTAAAATTGATTTAATACACAATAAATTAACCCTTACTCTAGAATAAAATTAAAATGTGTTTCTTTTTTGAGTTCATTTAACTATAACTTAATTATGTTCTTTCACCCCTCTTGCCACACCCCAACACACATTTATTTCTTAAAATAGTAAATAATATTCTTGGAGACACATGAAGAGTGTGCAACAGGATACTGCATGATCTAAGCATAGGACTGAGAACCAGGAACAAGTGAGTTCTTAGCCCACTGCTACCATTGACTCACTAATTCACTAGGAAGCCTTAGGCAGATCATAACACCTGTGTAGCACTATCTACACTAGGAAATGGACCCATTACTAATAGCTACCATCTGCAATGGATACCCCTGAACCAGTGAATGAAAATTATTTGACTGCTAGCATAGACAGAACAGAATCATTTTCGGTGCCATTAAAGAAAGCATTGTTTCAACATGGTTGAGAACAGGGGTTCTCAAACTGGGGGTAGGGACCCTTCAGGGGGTTGCAAGGTCATTACATGGGGGGTCACGAGCTGTCAAGCTCCACCCTAAACCCTGCTTGCCTCCAGCATTTATAATTGTGTTAAATATATTAAACAGTATGTTTAACTTATTAGGGGGGGTCGCATTCAGAGGCTTGTGATGTGAAAGGAGTCACCAGTAAAAAAAAGTTTTAGACCCACTGTTATAGAAAGTATATGTGACTTTTTTTCTCAGTCCTATTTCATTACAGCTAATGCTAAAACTGCAGAATGACTAATACAGATTGGTATCATTCCATAGTTATTAAACTTAAAGTGATATCTGAAAATTAAAAAAGTTTAGATAAGAACCTGTGGATCACTACAAGAAATACTGTGTAAATCCAGCATTCACCACTCTGAGCAACAGTTATTTTCGTTAAGAGGCCCTAGGTAATTTCAGCTCTCTTGGTGCTTTTACCTGCATCACATATTGACTTCCACAGTAATGGAACAAATAGCATTGCTTTCAAATAAAGACAACAACTGTGACCAAATCAGCTTGAAACATGTCTCAGAGCAACAATTTGGAAACAGGTATCTATACTGCAGTTGTCCAAGAGATAAAATTTCCCATTTTCTTGGTCACTGGATCCATTAACTTCCAAACCAACTTATGACACCCCCCACCAAAAAGTAAAAATTACTATTTGCCTTTCTAAAATGTGGTTATTCTCAGCTAGTTCTTTAACAACACCTTCCATTTCCTCCTTCAGTTTCTTCATACTGTATAATAAAAAACAAAAGAAAGGTCTTCAGTGATTATAAACCGTTTTATCCATTGCATGCCAGTTTTAATGTTACATTCATTATGAAATAAATGTGTCAAAATGGTATAATAGAAACAGTTTCTCTAATAATAAAATTGGAAGAAAAAATATTCTGAAGATGCCCAAACATTAGAGTGACTCATCACAATGAAGTTTCCAGTAACTTGCAATCATGTACAAAATAAAGGAGAAGCATATTAGGTTGGCTTGAAAACAAAATCTGACAAAAGTGATCAGTGGAAACGGTGAATGGTATGATTTTTCCCTCATGCCAATAAGTACATTAGCATTCAGAAATACCAGTTTGTTTTTGTAACATACAGAAAATGCCCGACCTTTATGCAGTAGCCACTTAACTGCTTTAAAAATGGAAAGGCAAGTTAAGTCAACAATAAAAAACACACATTTTCTCTAATTCCTCTATAGAAAGCATGTGAAAGTATTACAATTATCCATCTAATTCATACCCAAGAGTCATTTCCACTAAAGTGTTTGAACTTGGATAGATTGGATTCATTGCATGTTTGATCCCAGTGGAAGCTGCAAACGTTTTCTGTCGCAGAGCTTCTTGTAACTGCAATAAATAAATAAGGTAAGTAAGTAACATGATCACAGGCCAACAAACTGCCATGTGCATTTCAATGTCCACTTTCAAATCCCTCCTTGAAATATTCCCCTACCAAAGCCATGACAATGGTTGGGCAGCTGTGTGTGGCCTATCATGTGGAGTAGTATTGACTCCTTGTGCTCTCCCCTGTCTGTCTGTTGTATTCTCTCATCTTACACTTTGTAAGCTCTCTGGAACAGAGACAATCCCTGTTGTATGTTTGTCCAGTGCCTAGCATAAAAGGGATCTGATCCATGACTGGGGCCCCTAGGCACAAGTAACATTATTAATATAGTAATTACCCTGATCCTCTCAGACTTTTGAGTCAGGGAGATCAGCTGGATTTTCCCCTTTTTTTACACTTGTGTTTTTTTAAAAGTCATTTTGTTATACTAAAATATGTTTATTTGCCCTCAGACTTCTTTCTGTAATTGGGGACACTGTATAATGAAGACTAATACTTATAATGTTTGACACATCTTTAATGAATGGTTAGATTCTGCAGAAAAAAGCAAGATATACACTTTCATGCCTCTGATTTTTCCCCAGGAACCTGGTTTTGAACTGATTCTGGTGGCTCTGAATAGATTTGCACTCCAAATGGCAACTGTCAGAATGCTAAAAAATTCAATAATTCCTATCTCAAGGCAGAGATTTTAATAGTTTCTTCCAATTTTATATTGTTCCTAAAGTATGGTTTTACTCTGAAGAATGACTGTAGAAATGGCATTGCGGGGTTTCATTGTCTTGTTCTTCAGGCACAAGACTGGGACACAAGAATCCTGGTTTAACTCTGCCACAGAGTGAGAGAGACCTTAAGCAAGTCTCTGTGCCTCAATGCCCTATCTACAAAATGGGGATACTTCTCAACCTCAGAAGAGGGTTATGAAGATAAATTCATTAATGTTCAGGATGCTCAGATATTATGGTGATGGGAGCCACATAGAAAAGATTGATATGGAATCACTGAAAAACATCTAAAGTTGCTCAGGTTTTTTTTAAACTGCTTATCATGTAAACTCAGTCGGACTCTGAATCAGGTGGAGTTCTATCCAGCTCACACATCACCAGCAATACAGCTTCTACAGGCCAAACTATTACATCTGTGCAGCCCTATTACTGTCAATAGGTTTGCATAGGTGTAAGTGGAACTTGGTAAACTATCCTGTTGATGGTGATGAGGGAAATGGAATAGAATCCTTTGCTCACTCAGTCTAAAATCTGGACATAGTTTAGGACCAGTATACCTCATTTATATAGTCCTGGTATTTGGCTACCTCTTCTTCAATATCAAAACACTGGCTGGTGAGCGTCAGTAACTGTTTCCTTAAATGAAGCATCTTTCTGGAAGCAAAAAAAAATTATTTTAAAAAGGCAATCAGCAAAATCATGGTGCTGTCACAATTCTGAACTCTAATGAATCAATCTCTTGCCTCATCCAGTCCTCTGCCTTGTCCAAAAATGTCTCATACTTGCTGACACATTCATCTTTGAACAGAGATATGGCTTTTGTGGCATGTAAATTCAGCTTCTGCCTGCAATACAGAAATAATCAACAGAATATTGTTATATCACTTGCAGGACTTCATTCCCCAAATTATTTTTTTAAAGCTTTGAGGCATACGAGCTATATATGAAGATTTAAAATGTCTTAAAAAATACTTTATCCAACTTATTTTGTGTGCTACTATAATGTGTTTATATGGGATGAACTGCCAGGTTATATTTCAAAATTAATTTCCAAGATGTTCCAATTTCAAATGTCCCATTTGAGGCAAAAATTTGGCTAGTTTTAACTATTATTTACAAACTATTGTGACAAAGCTCTGTCCTTGTCTCGGTGGGTCCCACGTTTCCTGGCGGATTTCACTAGCCTCAGAGGCTCACTGTGACCCTCCATGTAGCCCTTCTCTCTCTAGAGGCAAGGGTCACACCCTACTGAGCCATTTTCATCATAAGCCAGTAAGGGAGGTGAGGAGAAGCTACCCTCCCTTGCACAGTCTCTGTTGTCTCCCAGTCTCAGAGATTAATCAGGGGGCAAAGAGGGGGAGCCCAGGCCCACCCACTACTCCAGGCTCCAGCCCAGGGACCCTAATAGTATCCGCTATGGTAGCTGATTTTTTAGAAACAGGATGCATACAATTTCCTGGGCCACTTCTCCACAGCAGCCCCCACTTCCTCAAGATCCACTTCACCCTTACCTCAGGGCCTCCTTCCTTGTGCCTGATATGGTTTGTACTGCTCAGTCTCTCCAACAGCACAACTTTCTCCTACAGCTCCTGACACACACGTATCTCACTGACTAACTGGGAGGCTTTTAGCTAGTTTCAGCCAGCCCTTGATTGGCTTCAGGTGTCCCAATCAACCACTATCTCCACTGCTTTCTAGAAGGATCTTAATTGGCCCCAGGTGTCTTGATTAACTTGGAGCAACTGCCATTTGATTACCATGGTACCAGGGATTTGTTTAGCCTGGGGCTAACATACCTGTTCCTCACTACTTTACTATAGCCATCTGGCCTGGCCCCGTCACACTATGCACTCATACTACTTTTTCCATTTGAAATTTGAAACCTTGATTATATTTAAGGAAAGGAAATGATGGATAGAAAGGACAGAGGAGCTTCTTATTATAATTAATTATTTGTATTACCATAGTGCCTAGCAGCATCAGTCATGGACCATGACTCCACTGTGCTAGGCACTGTACTAACAGAACAAAATCACAGACCCATACCGTAATAAGCTTACAATCTAAGCATAAGACAAGAGGTGGATACAGATGGGCAAAGAAGGAGGACACAGTCAGACAATATTGGTCAGCTTGATAGGCAGTGGTCTCAGCACTAACCATGCTTGTGTGTGTGAACTAGGAAGTGGAATCATGGGATGTGAAATTTTGAAAGACTGCAACTCCATGTCAGCTTTTAGGCTTTTACTGAATAAAGTCTTGAATGATGGCTAGTTGGTACTCTTACCTGTATGGTTTATATATGGACAAAGTACCTGATTTCTCACTAATCTCACACAACTGTCATCCACCCAGGAAGCAGCTGAAATGAACACTGCTCACTTTCCTACCCAGTGATAAAGTGCTACAATTAAGACTGGAGTGGCCAGCCAGTAATTCTGCTGCCACCAAAAAGACCAAAGATCTAGGAACTGAGTTCTCAGACCACCAGCACTGAAGTCACTGCAGTCGTAGAACAGAAAGCAATACTTTATGCCATCCTCTAGCAATTTCTTTTTGGGAGAGTATGGAGTAAAATGAGATGTGCTCAGGATCCCAAGTGACACTTGGAGACTCCAAAGGGAAAACACTGGAGCTCCACTGGTAATAGCAAAGGCAGAACACTTTAGGGAAAGACATTCCTTAAAAGTAGCAAATTGGAAAGGAGACAGGAATTACAAAATGTCTACTTTTATACAAGGTATTTTACATAAACATGCACTCGGACATATATATATATGCCCTCAGACAAGTAATTAACATCCACATTTCAAGGTATATAAAGTTACCCCATCTCTAGGAAGCAGATAATTATGATTAATAAATATGCATAAAATCTCTCATCATGCTTGACAGAAATTAAAAGAAAGAAAGTTGCTGTTTGAAAGAGCTTATAATCTATATCAAACAAAGAGGAACCAGCAGGAAAGGTAACCACCAAAGATTTGTCAGGGACCTTAGCACAAGTGATATTTTTTTAAATGTAATTTTAACACTTACTTGTCAAATTTGTGGATTTGTTCCTCATTATAAGGAAGTCCTAGTATCAGAGGAAATCAAAGATATTACTGATTTAATTCTATTAATTTAGCCATCATCCTACAGAATTGTTTGTTTCCTGTCTGGGTGAGTGTTAGGTAGCAAGCATGGACATTTAGTTTTTTCAATGCAGATGTTTAAATTTATAAAACAAAAATTGTGGTTCACTTATTCCCTCAGATTCTTTTCCTAACTGTTGCCTACAGAGCACTGAGGACATATTCACTGTTGTTGGCCATCTCTCCCCATCACAATTAAAAATATCTGAACAGACTTAAGGCTGACTTGTCCTTTATACTTTTAATTATTCTTAATGTATACTAAAAATAAAATTACTTACTACGTTCTGCTTTGTCTTTCTTGAACTGATAATAAATATCTGTGATAGAACTCAGCAATACTTGTAGCTTTTCTGGACTAGAAGGGGGTGAGGGTGGGTGGAAACAAAAGGTTAATTATAATGAACGTAGGTCAGTCCAGAAATCATAATATGTTCAAGCAATGAATGTGAAGTTGTCACTTACTTTCTGTCTCTGGGATGTGTGCCTTCCTGATTTGCCCAGGTATCACTCAGCAATCCACCAGGAGACAGTTTATTTTCAGTGTCCTGAAGACTGGTCTCTATTGTTCCCCGAGAGCTAGAAAGCTGCTTAAGAACAACAGTTTCACCACTACCATTGCCAAAAATCACAAGTTATCTTGCACTTGAGATGGGATTCGGTGCATTTTCACTTTAGTATAGTTAAAATAAATAATAATAATAATAATACCACCACAACCTAGTCCTCACTTGACTAATTGTCTCCAACCATAGGAATATGCCTAGACAACTTATGAAGTATTTAGCAGCTCAAATGTTCACTTTAAGGACATACAAAACATGGCATTATTAGGAAAAGTGTCTTCTGTGGAATTAATATTTCTGCTAATTAACATTTATTTTCTCAATAATAGTATCTTCTCTTTGTCTCTCTCTTTCACCTATCTTCATGCTTTTTCTCCTATGCTGCCCAATCCTGGAACTTCCTCCCTGCTTCAGTGCATCAAACTCTTTCTCCATGAAGCCTCCTAACACCAACCTTCAACCATATAAATGCTGCAACCAACCCATTACAAAAGACAAGAAAAATAAAGTAAGATAGTCTTCCTCTAGATCTCCCAATGCATTTTGTGTTGTTTATTCACACTTAACGCTACAGAAACAATACCGCTTAAAGATAGCAAGCTGTCTTTTGTTTTGGCTTGCATATCAAAAAACTATTAACTGAATTCTTATTGCATGATCTTTATTTTGTTGAGGTGCAATCCAGAAAGAACTCAGACTGACTTTCAGATTCCAGGTTGAGCATAGCTGGCAGCTAAATACACATACACACACACATATTTATATATATTCGTTCATAAGCCGATTTTTTTTAGTAAAAAAGGGAAGCATCAGAGAAGGGGGTTGGCTTATGAACAGGTAGGACACAGTCCCTCCCCGCAACAGAGGGGGCAAGGAGAGGCAGCACAACCAGCAGAGCCAGAAGGGAAGAGGAAGGGCCAGAGTCTCTCCGCTTCTGGCCACGCTGCTCTCCCCCCAGCTTCCAAAGCAGCTGCAGCTCCAGGGCTGGTAGGGTGTGGCTGCGCCACCCGTGCCTGCCAGAGCATGCTGCGGCCATGCTGCCCAGTCTGGCCTGCCGGAGTAGGCTGCAGCTGTGCTGCCCAGCCTGCCAGAGCAGCTCCAGCCAGGCCACAGACATCCTCCCCTGGGCCGCCCCAGCTAAGGTGGGAAGGGATGGGATGGGGAGAGTGTGGGGGTACCAGGCTAGGGGTGCGGTCATGTGGTGGGTGGTCACAGGGGTTATTCCTCTGACCCCCAGCTTTCCCCCCCCCCTGAAATTTCCCCATCAGTTGCTGTCCGAGCCCATCAGGGTAAGCAGCTGGCGGGCCAGGACACTTGGGGGAGGGATAGCTCAGTGGTTTGAGTATTGGCCTGCTAAACCCAGGGTTGTGAGTTCAATCCTTGAGGGGGCCATTTAGGGATCTGGGGCAAAAATCTGTCTCGGGATTGGTCCTGCTTTGAACAGGGGGTTGGACTAGATGACCTCCTGAGGTCCCTTCCAACCCTGATATTCCATGATTCTAGGTTTGCCTCCCTGCTTGCAGACACTCAAGGTAAACAAACCGTCTCGGGCAACCAGCGGCTTATCCTGATGGCCCCGGAGCCAAAGTTTGCCGACCCCTGAATTATAGGGTCTGCTTATGAATGGGTCATAAAAAATTTCCATTTTTACTTATCCATCTTGGGGGCGGTCAGCTTATAAATGAACTGGCTTATGATCGAGTATACACACACAGACGCACACACACACACACACACACACACTTTTAAACAGAGGAGATCTGAAGTCACTGAGCAATATCAAACATGGAACTCCACAATGTCATAAAAAAAAACTTTCTAACCACATGATCTACCTAAAAAAATAGAACACCACCACCACCTTTCTATGATATTTGCCCAGGTGAATGTATTATGTGCCTACCATTTTACTTTAATATTCTGTTTCTGCAATTTGCTAATAAAATCAGTTTTTATTTCATGACGACTGGGTTCAGGAGACCAATAGTGGCAGAGAATCAACAAAGAGCCCATCAGAGACACCATCAATATATCACCCTGAGTATGAGATTCTTGGCATGGCGGAGATGTAATCGCCATCCCCAAGATGAGCCACAAGGGGGAGATAGTGTGGGCACAGGGACAGCTAAAATCTGGTAGGGCACTAGATAGGATTATATGCCATACTAGCTCTTTCTGTGAGAAACTCAAACCTTCACTTTCTCTACATCCCACAAGAATATTCCTGGTCTGTTTTGTATCTGACAATTAAAACTATTCTATATTTTTTCAATCTCCTATTTACATAGCCTATGGAAGAGGAACAACTTTGCTATACTACTATCCTGGGACAAATATTAAATTCTCCATTATTTAATATTTTTAAATTTCCTTTTCTAATTTAAAACTCTGCAGATTTAAAAGGACATGGTAGTGATATGATTCATACACATTTTACAAAGTATGTGAAGAACTTTGGGATCCTTCCAAATGAAATGCAAAAGAAGCACATTTAGATTTTTTTAAAGCTTTGTGCTAAGATTATTTTTCTGAGTGTCTGATAACTGGGATGACTCCTTCAGTGGACACATTGCTCTTTCCACTAGAATGTGCGTGGGAGAGGTTTTGGGGTGCCGGATCTGGACAGAGGTCACCTCGGGCATGTCCCTGCTGCTCCTAGGCGGAGGCACGGCCAGGCAGCTCTGTGCGCTGCCTCCACCTGCAGGCGCTGCCCCCGCAACTCTGATTGGCTGCAGTACCCAGCCAATGGAAGCTGCGGAGCCAGCGCTCAGGGTGGGGCAGGGGCAGCGCATGGAACCCCCGTGGTTGTTCCTCTGCCTAGGAGCGTTGACCGCAGAGCTGCTTGGCCGCACCTCCACCTAGGAGCAGCAGGGGCGACTTCCCGCAAGTGGCGCTATGTCCCTGTTACTCCTAGGCAGAGTTGCGGCCAAGCAGCTCTGTGGTCAATGCTCCTAGGCAGAGGAACAACCACGGGGGTTCCATGCGCTGCCACTGCCCCACCATGAGCGCTGGCTCCACTGCTACCATTGGCTGGGGACTGCGGCCAATCGGAGTTGCGGGGATGGCGCCTGCAGGTGGAGGCAGCGTGCAGAGCCACCTGGCCGCGCCTCCACCTAGGAGCAGCAGGGACATGGCACCACTTGTGGGGAGTCGCCTGAGGTGACCACCACTCAGATCCGACACTCTGAAAGCCCCAACCCCCGTCCTGAGCCCCCTCCCACACCCAAACTCTCTCCTAGAGCCCATGCCCTATACCCGAAATGCCGGTTTATAGAGCTTTCCGGTTGGTAAAGTGTCAGATAACACAGATTTTACTGTATTTTTCTTTAGAAAATAACCGCATCACAATTTTTGTATGCTAAGAAACTCTCAGAAGAAGAGAAAAGCTGCTAAGAACATGTAGAGGTTTTCCTTTGTAGAAAGCATCTTTCAAAACTGCACCTTTGGACTTTTATGCAGATACACTCAATATTTTGAGGAGCACTTCTTATTACAATATTAGACACTTACAAGCAATAGTTTAGTATGTATCTCTGAAATTTCATCCATTTCTGTTTCCAAGTGGATCTGCATCAGATTCTTGTATCTGTCAATAAAAACATAATTCAGTTAAAAACATGACTGCTGTTCATACTTTTGTATTAAATAAACAAAGAACATGTTTTGGAGATCATTTTGTTCCCAGAACTGAAAAAAAGAAGTTAATACAATTGTCTACCCTGTCCTAACAAAAGTTAGAAAGTTAAAAAAAAATCCACCAAAATTATGTTTAACTTTGAGAAGCAATCAATTTAAAAGCTTCCCTAAACAACAAACAAAACATTAGTTCAGTAACAGACTCTTGCCACTTCATTCCATATTTTCACTGAACCGTAAAAAAGTTTTAAACTACTTGCATTCCTAGCATTCCTGCTTTTCACTCATTACTTATAGTCTACAGAAGGCTGAAATGTCTGATATAATCACTTCAATCTATTTTTGAAATGTACCCCTTAAAAAATAGTCAAACACATCAAGCACCAGTTCTCCGACGACTATGGAAACATATTGGAAAACCTGGGTTATAACCAAATATTATACATAGGGCTGGTAGCACTGCCTATTAAGGTTACCCAACCACTTCCCATTATAAGACCCTGTTTTCAATTGCTTATAGCTTTGCTAAATTTTAACCCTTTGGGCTGAAATTTTCAGTGCCAGGTGATTGCCTCAGACTGAATTTTTTCAGAAAGATTCAGCCAAAATGATTCTGCTGTGTCCAAGAACGAGGATAGGAAAAAACACATTGTTTGCCTGTGTTAAAAAATTCTGGTGACTTTTTTTTTGGGAGGGGGGATGGTGGTACTTGCATCACCATACTTTGGAGCTGAGGATTTGAAATTTGGCATTGAGGTGGCCTTTGTATCAGGGATATGCCTTTTGCTTCCCCTGTGAAAATCTGCTCAAATTTGACCAAGTTATAAGCCTTTGAAAAATTGTAGTTTTCATTTGCTCAGTAAAGCAGCAAATGTGATTTGCAGCTCATATAGACATACCCACCCTACCTGTACTCTAGTTAGCTTGCTAAAAAGAGAACTGAGGATGCCATAATGCAGGTTTCAGTGTAGGCTGTACAAACCTACCCAGTCCCACTGGGTACATACTCGCTTGTGCAGCCGTGCTGTGGCGTCCTCACTTCTATTTTTAGCGAGCTAGCTGGAGTACAGCAAGCATGGGTCCGTCTACATTAGCTACAAATCATACCTGCAGCTGCAGTGTATACAAACAGAGTTTAACAGCTAAAATCTCCAAACGTTCTGTCCACACTGAGCTTGGTCCAGCTTGGGGCTGAGCAGTACTTTTCCTGAAGTTACAGCTCTGGTTGCTGTGCTCCGTGGAAGGACCAGACACTAGACATAAAAACAGGAAGATTGTCTCTCCCGTTCTCAAAATGCACCCCCTACTGGGTCCAGTCAGTGTGGTAGAGGAAGTTGCCTGATTTGAATACAGAGAGTACAAGAGGCAGCCCAGCAATGGGAGTAAAGATGGGACAAGGAATCTGGGGATGCAGACTGGGACTGTAGGCTGGCGGTGGTGGTGGTGGGGGGGTGTTGGAGGGAAATTGGGACTAGAAATTGGGGGGAGAGACTGGGACAGGTTGGGCAAAGAGACCAGTGGATGGGGGGTGGGGGGTGGAAATGTGGCGGCAGGAGAGACAGATATTATAAGCCAGGGTGTAGGGGTAAAACTGGGACCAGCTGGACAAACAGACTGGGATAAGGAGCTGGAGTAGGTAGGGACATTGAGATTGAAGCCTGGGGAGAGAGAACAGTACTGGGGAATGTGGAGCTTTGGCCGGGGAGGAGGAGAAGGGCAACAGATCAGACAAGGAGAGGGGAAGAGACTAGAACTGGGATCAAAAACCTGAGGACTAGAGACTGTCACTTGCTACGTAAGGAGAATAGGGCTGGGATGAGAAAGAGATAGGACTCTGACAGGGACAGGTTGGGTGGGATGGGGCAAAAGTGGTCATGCTCCGGGGGGAATGGGCAGAAAAGTCTGTATCCACTAGAACACACTCCTCTGCAGAGCCTGGAATGGAACCCCAAACACCCGAGTCTCACCATTCCTCTGCTCTCAGCAAATATCTGTGAAACCCATGGGGAAAGCGTTTCATCCCCCCTTAGTGCGGGTCCACATAGAGGATAACAATGTACTACTGCTATCAGTTAGGCCCAGATGCTCAAAAGGAGTTAGGTGCCTATGTCCCTATTACAGGCAGCTAAAACCTGGGTTTGGTACCATTGCAACGCACAACCCCCCCCGCCAAACCCTGCAGATGTCTACACTCGCTCTGTGCCTAAATTTTTGCACGAAAAGTTCCCTAAGTGCCTACATTTCTGCCTCTGAGCATGCACACAGCTTACTCCTGGGGGAATTCTGCATCACTGTGTGTGTGCATATTTCATGTACCACGCATATTTTTAATTTTTTTTTTTGCAGAAAATAGCTTTAGCTGAAAAGTTGCTGCAGTTCCACCTTTTGCCCACCAGAAGGCGCTGTGGCGCTAGAACACAGCAACCGCTCCTGGCAAGCCCCAGCTATGATGGGAAGAGAAAGAGCCTGCCTTCTTCACAGTGCCTGTCAGGCCAGGTCGGGAGACAGACAGCTATGGGGCTGCTGAGAGGTCAGACAGGACTCATAAGGGCTAGTAGGGGACGACAGACTGAGGCAGGGGCTGAATGGGAGCGGAGGCACAGGGCCACATGGGCAAAGGGTGTAGAGCTACAGGGGGGCAGGGGGATGGCTGAATGGGAGCACAAAGACACATTGGGACAGGGGCACATGTGCCTGACTGAATGGGAGAGGCTAAGGGTCAGGCAGAGTTGGCATGGGGACGCTCCCTAACAATCCCTCCCCGCCCCCCAAGAACACCTGTTCCATACTTTTCCCATGCATACCCAACAACCCTTCAAGTTCATACCGAGGCTCCTTCCCATCAATTACTTCCCTCTCCCTCACCTCCTCCGTTCCCCTGACTCCCCCAAGTCTTTGCACTGCTTCTGAGAAGTGTGGGAAATACGGTTCTGTACTGTAGTTTAAATGAATTATTACTCAGAGTTCTGTATTAATATGCCTAGTAAGGAATCTATTTGTCAAAAAACATTTCCTGAATTTTTTTTTATCATCATTATTGTTACAGACATACTTGCTGACAGGTATTTTGAAATAAATTACTAAAATAATTGAAACTGGTGTGATTATATTGTGTTATTTTGACAAATATAATATGCAGAATTTTAAAATATTGTGTGCAGAATTTTAAATATTTTGGTGCAGAATTCCCCCAAGAGTAACAGCTGCATCTCCGAAGGCGTCTTGTCACATATCTCCTAACTAAGTCACACAATGATTGACAAACAGGGAGAAAGATAGCGTTCAACCACCTATATCACATACAGAGTCCAAATGAAACTGAGAGCAAGTGACAGAAAATGCACATAGAAGAATGAGAATGACTGTCTAGCGTGGTGGTGAACACACTCACCCAATGCGTGGGAGACCCAGGATCCAGTTCCCGTGCTCCAATGACTAATTATTTATCCAGAGTACAACAACTTCAACAGGAGAGAATGAGGGTACTCCACATGAGACTATCCCATCACCCAATGGTTAGAGCTCTCACCTGAGAGGTGGGAAATCCCTGATCAAGTCTTCCTCCCCACCTGGTAGAGAGGGGGCAATTGAACCTGGGTCTCCCTCATCCCAGGTGAGTGCTCTAACTATTGGTCTAAAATTTAGAAAGTGGGCACCACCACCGGAAACAGCTCCTTGCTAAAACAGCGTAAGGCATCTAACTCTAAAGAGAGTACCCGATTTCCGAATTGCAAACAGGCATCTATCTCCATGAGAGGAGCAGGGTTTAGCACATACCCCTCTCATCAGCATCTCTCAGTGGCTATCTTAGGCGCCACCATGTCTAGTGTGGTGGCTTTTGCTAATTGCAGTCTAAGGTAGAGCCCTGCAGTGGGATTGGGATCCCACGGGTCCTGCAAGATCCGCTGCCATAATAGCAGGAGTGGGTAAAATGTAGCTTGTTGTGGGCAGGATCGGATTGGGGGGGGGAGCGGGGGGGAGGTGACAGACTGTGGTAACTGTGGGAAAATACTAAATCTCTCATCAGTTTGTCATAAATAGAATTTCCAGCAATGAACAGCAAGTTTTTCTCTTTTTTAAAAATAAAGGTTTTAATACTTAAATTTAAGTGGGGTCTAGAAAGAGATTTGATGTCTATTATCACAAGAGTTTAAGTATTTTTATATGGTTTAAGCAACATTTGTTTTATTCTTTTAGTGGTAAAAATTGTGCTTGAATTCTGTTTATATATTGCTGGTGGGAGCGGGATAAAATTGCAAGAAACAATGCAGGAGCGGGTGGAAGTGGGTATTGTAGGGTGGGATAAGAGTAGGATTAAAAAAAATAGTCCTGCGCAGGGCTCTAGTCTAAGACACCTATCTCTTACCATTCATTGTAAAGGAACTTATGCTAAGGCTTTGAGAATCAGAGTGATTTTTCCAGGTATCTAACTTCTTTGAGCATTCAGCCCTCACTCCTTTAACTCAAGCAGCGGAGGTCTGTGTGGTGAATCTAAAGGTGTCAATGTGATACTACAAGATGCAATTTTCTGTTTTTCAGTTTGTTTGTTTTTAAATTAAGGAAATCATGCAAAAATCAGTACATTAAAATAATATTTTTAAAGTTGCAAAGACAAGCACTCAAAAATTAGGCAATGCCAGAATTAAGGCCGCCTGGGCAACCTTAATTTGACCCTGTGTGTGTATACATTATGATACAGGTTTTAATTGCATGATCACATATTGTTGACTTATAGCAAACATATATATGATGTATTAAGTATACATATTAAGCATTAATATAGCAGATATGTAGCCCAAATTAGCCTGTGCATTTGTTATAATCCTGTTCACTTATCCTATAATACTTTGTATCCCATAACACTTTCCATTAGCAGAAGAAAGCTTTGGCTTAAGTAGGTAGGAAAACTATCAGTATCATAGAATTGTTTCCTCATAGAAACAGTAAGAGAGTTACCCTCACAAACCTATTTATCCTGGTACAAGCCTAGGGGGTGTCTTCACGCCCTTTAGTACCTGGAATGCATGTGCTCAGAACAACGCTAAGGGTGCATCATGACCTGGAATGCATGGGTTCGGAACAATAGATAAAGGGGTACACCACAGTACCAGAAATAAACAAGGTAAAAAGCTGATTAATTGAATCCAGTTTCAGGTGATGCATATACCTTTTACTGGTAAAGAGGTAGGGTATAAAAAGATGGCTTTAGGGACCTAATTTAAAGGAGCACACCTTTTGCGTAAAGTGAACGTAATACTGCTGCACAGGACTGTTCTCAGGAGATTGTATTGTGCAGAACCCTTTTTCTGTACTATATTAATAAACTCAACTGAATTGGTTATTTGGTCTCTTGAATATATTTCGTAACGAAATAACAAACCAAAGTGTGGTCAGACAATCGACTATACAAATTATTAACACATACTATAATTTTCATAGGACCCCTGCGCCTCCTTCAGTGTACAGGACAAACCTGTTCTAGGGATGAATCAGGGTTGTATAGTGAAAGAGACTATTGTTTGTAGTATCCCAGCTTCTTCTGCAGCAGACTTTGAAGGGTGTGTAGTGAATGAGACAGAAGATTGCAGGAAGAGAAAGATGGTGTCATGGTAAAGGCATGCAACCTCAAGTGTGCATGCACAGGCAATCTTAACTCTGGCATTTCCTAAATTGTGAATGCTTGACTTTGCAACCTTAATAATGTTCTTTTAATGTAGTTTTTTGTGTGTGTCATATTTATAGAAATATTAAAGGCAATCATGTATTACAATGTTAAAATCCACTCTCTGCAGCAGGGAGCCCAGGTCTTTAACAACCTGCTTTCATTACACTTTTATTCATCTTTAAAATCATATGCAGGGCAAGCTTACGGCTTTAGCCACAACCATATGACTGAACTCCTACATTATTTGTCCTACCCTTTACTGTAGCTCCCTAAGCCATCAAGAGAACTCAGGCAGGGAGGGGGGAAGGAGAGAAGAGTAATACGCACTACTCAGTAGTTACTCTCCTTTCCACTAAATTAAGGAGCAGCATTCAGTGAGGTCCAAGACCACTCCTGACCTCACTTGGTGCTAGGCTACTGCCATCGGTGAAACAATTGTAATTAAAAAGTAATAACCTTTTTTGCGTGCAGACACATGGTAAATAAAGTTATCTTTAAATACAGCTGTCACTAAGAAGAAAAAACTACGAAGTCAGCCAGTTTCCACTGGCAGTGCAATGTATTTACTTCCAAAGAACAATACAGTGTTTCTACTCACATTTTCCCAGCTATCTCTATGTTCCTGTTGCAGAAATCCAGCTTGATGATAACCTCTGTCTTTTTGTGCACTGTTTCATTGTAGTCTTCCTTGATTATTTCACTGGAAAGAATAGCACCAGTCTATCAAAAAAAAAGTTTTCACTTCCTTCTTATCACATATCTTTGCCTACAGTAATCATTGCTGGTAATGGAGAGTAATATCTCTAAGATTTTACATACTGTCATAAAATTTTATTCCAATGTTCTGGCAGACATTACTTCAGTAATAGTTTAGTAGCTAGAGAGATCTTTCACAATCCTATTAACAACATGAACTACCAAAATCATTATTTAAAATTTTGAAATTCATTATTTGTCCTTGCTGGATCATATGTTCCGACACTATACTTAAATTAGAATTATCCAAACTTCTGTAGGAGCAGATTAAACTAAATAACATGGATACCTAGTTCAGAAAGTGGGTCTTCAGAGTTTCCCCTGATAAGGGAGGAGGAAACATTTGAGAGACTGTGAAAGTCTACTCATACTCATGGTCGAGGGGAAGGAAGAAAGCTTCAGAAGTCATTGGAAGCCCACAAAATTATGCAATGTGTGAACGACCAGAACAAGTCTTGGTAAAGAAACCATGCCCAGCAAAATTCAATCAATCAATCACTTACATTAACCATCGTATTCCTTTTCGCATTAACTCCTGGTAAAGCAGCAAAGCATTGGCAACTCTACAGGCATAGCATACAACACCTGTTACTGCCTGACAGAGAAATAAACAATATCAGTACTAATTCAGTGCTCACAACACTGTAGTTTGTTTCAAGTCAATGGATCACAAGAAAGCAACATTGATTAATATTAGAAGAAATTAGAACATGAAGATGGTAACAAAAAAATGGGGTAACTTTGCCCATAAATTAGTGTGTACGGGGGGAATAGTTAAAGCAAAGATGAGTTTTCCATTACACTGAAATTTCACGGTCTTTGTTAGGCATGAAAATAAGTCTGTCATAATCAAAGTTATACCACATACTCTTGATGTTCAGATTTAATTTTCTGGAAAGTTACAAGTAAATGTGTTCAGTAGTGTATAGGAATGTAAAGAATTTTTTTAAAAATAATACATTTTCAAAATTGTAGGGCTGCGGTCCCATTTTTTGGCATCCACCCAATTCTGCTTATAAACTTTGTTTTAACACTTGGAATTTTAGGTAAATGTACATCTAAACAAAATCTCAAGCAGAAGCTAGTTTAACTTTTATTTTAATTAAAAGTTATTGATATTATTACTCGTAGCTTACCACTTATGCCATGGACTATGATGAGTACAATTTCAAATATCAGTACTTTGAAAGACTTTAGGAGGCCTATAGGGAGAAATACTTATCACTTTTGCACACTTTGGGAGATGCACATGAACAGACTTCTTCACAGGGGCACAAATTTTGCAGCTACCATATAAGTGACTCAGTGAAGTCAACAGTAGATTGACACTACAGCTACAGAATAAGGCCTGAAAGTGGACTACTACTTTTCTCCTATGGCGTTCTGTCAGGCAGGGGAGATTCAGAAACCCTGTAGGAAAGAAACATCAGAGATTTCACTCTTTTGCAGAGTCCCTGAGACTCTGCTGCAGAGTTCGGGAAAGGAACTTCTTATTTCTCTCCTGCTTAGCATCACAGGGGAAGACAGTCTCAGATCTGCTACTCTTCTAACCTTAGAAGGTCTCCTATGCACATAACTCAATATGAAATTTTATGCACAAATATTTATTAAGTTAATTTTTTTAATACTTATTTTTTAAATAAAAATCAGAACTTTTCAGATTAAAAACTTATTTATCAGAAAGTTGTCTAACCTGTAGGGTATTTTTAAAAAATCTTTTTTATAAGGCTAGATGATTTTCTGCAATAACCTTGACTTTCAAATATTTTTATTTTGTCTAGGATAACAGACCACGAAAGACCACCAGTTAATTGATTTTTTACCCTTTAAATAAATATTCACCTACCATTAACTATGCACTGTACAGTATTGTATATTATAGCAAATGTTTCTTCTGAAGGGGGGGCGGTTAGGAAAACATTTTCTTTCACTGTAAATGAACTCAACTTGTATAAATCCATTAGACATATAAACCTACTATAAACTGGTTTTCAACCTGTGGTCTGAAGACCTTTGGGGGTCCGCAGATGGTTTATGATTTTCAAAAGGGTCCGCAACTCCATTTGAAATATTGAGGAGTTGACAAATGAAAAAAGGTTGAAACCCACTGTAGTATAATAAATCTTAATTCAGCCCTTTCTCAGGAAAAACTCCCATTGATTTCAATGCAAGTTTTGCTTGAGCAATGATTTTGGGATTTGGTCCTTAATTTCTTCAGCACTGACTTTCCCCTCAGGAAAAATCACAAACCAGGAAAATGCAGATGAGGAATAATAATGCACAGCACTTATATAATGCTTTTTGCCTTCAAAGCATTTTACAACAATTTGCCACTTAAAACTGATAGTTTAATCTAAACCTAAGGTACTAATTGAGAGAAAGAGTGAATATATATGTCATTTGATATACTCTCTCTCTCTCTCTCACACACACACACACACACACACACACACACACACACAAAAAGCAAAACCCATTAAAAAAGACCAACAAGATGGCTGGTATTATTCAATTCAACATTAGGTAGCTTTAGTTTATTTGAGATAGCAATTTAATTCTAGTTCTAGTTAAATAAATACTCACTTTAGCCATACTGGCATCACTGTCCAAGTCATACCGCTGATGTACTTTAGGAAGTGAAACTGAAACATAAGAGATGGACTTTTATTTTACATTTCATATGTAATAAATCTGTAATACATTAGTGAATACACAATATACATTTTGGTTTAGAAACATTTCTTTTGTGTCTTCAGTGAAACGTCACATTTAATATGAACTGCTTCTGTTAACAGACTAGAAAGACTAATCAGAGTTCAAGAACACTTGAATTTCCAGATATTACTGGAAATTAGAAGAAGATTAGTTAGGAGTGCTATTTTATAAAATTCCTTTCAACTTATTTAAATATTGTGGTTCACAAAAGGATTTTAGAATTCTATGCACATTACTAAATCCTACCTATATTAGTGCTCAGGGACCAGGACTTTTAAAATAATTATCTAAAATTAGATTTTAAATCCATATTTAAGCATCAAAATAAGTGGCCTGATTTTTTTGAGTACTGAGCACCCAACAGCATCTTTTGATGTCAATGGGAAGTGATGGACACTCCACACTTAGAAAAATCCGGCCTGTTTAGGTGCCTAAATATGGACAAACTCTTGATCCAAGTTTTTAATATATTTATCAGAGGCCAGAAATATTCAGTAATCAAACCTATTTTCAAAGAACATTTATAAGCAGCCTAATCTTGTTTATTTAAGAACAGGCAGAAAAGACTTTAACATACTTTCTTCATAGATTAATCCTACGATGTTCACAGCCTCTCTGCTTACTATAATTATAGGATTTTCTTCAGTGGTTTTGGGAAAATGTTGTGCCAATCTTCCAGGCTCTAGTACTAAACGGCGGCCTTCATATATCAGTTCTTGGTTCTGAGAAGTTATTTTTGTCTGTTTGTAGACCAATTCATGAAATATGGCAGCTCTGTAAGAAAAACATTACACTTAGGAAACAACCAGATCAAAGTCACTAAAATGTAACAGGATGCAAACAATTCATAAATTTTTTTTTAAACATACCTTTTATATTGGTTTTGTTCCTATATAAATTATTAGATTTATACATATAATAAACAGTGCGCAGCCTAGCTAAGGCACTGGGAAGTCCTGCATAAATTACAAAAATAAAATTAAATTGCCTGCAGAACACCAAACTCCTTTCCACACATCGGATTTCTCTCAAAGGCCCATCTCTGCAACAGCCTGCATAAATAGATATGTTTTGAAGGGCAACAGAATAGGGTGACTTTGGACCCAGTGAGGGAAGCCTAACCCAGAGCTTGGATCCTCTCACAGAAAACACTCTACTTTCAGCCCCTCTCTTAAATTGACAGGGAAGTCAGCTCTACTGATCGCAAGTGTGGCAGTATGGCACACGGAGAGAGGCAGTGTCTCAAGAAGCAAAGTCACAGAACATTTAGGGCTTTTATATATCAAACTCAGCACCTTAAATGCTGGGGATCTTGGCAGACCACTTAATGATCTTTCCAAATACTGTTTGTACTGTTAGCTAACTATTGTAAAGCACTTTGGATAAGAGCACTTTATTAAAAAAATGTAAAAGACGTTGGGGTGTGGGGTCTGGCCAGGACTTAGGATGTGGGAGGGGGCTCAGGGCTGGGGGTGCAGGGTCTGGGAGGGAGTTAGGGTGCAGGAGCGGGCTGGGGGTTGGGGTGCAGGGTCTGGCCAGGAGTTAGGGTGAGGGAGGGGGCTCAGGGTTGGGGCAGGAGGTTGGGGCGTGGAGCGCTTACCTGGGGCAGCTCCTGTTTGGTGTAAGGGGTGCAGGTGGGAATGTGGGGGGGGGGGGTTGCAGGAGCTCCTGTTTGGTGCTCAGGGTGGGGTGGGGATATGGGGGAGTGCAGGAGTCAGGGTGTGACGTTATTGATATAATCTGGGACCATACTGAACATGGTTGCAACCAAAGTCCTGTAGTGGCACCAAATCTTGTATAAAGGGGGTCAAATGAAGTGTCTAAGACAAGGTTATGGTTTGCTGGTTATGATTATGCTGTCTATATGTGTGTATCAATTTTGTAGTTGAAGTTATGAATATTGGCTCTATACTGTCTGTATTTCAAACTTATGCTATGCTCCTGGGAGACATCCCAGACAAGTTGGTGTGAGCTCTGCCTAGCCTGCTTGATGGCCCATTAAGGATCATCAGCTATACAGCTGACCCATTGAGAGAAGGCAAATACGCCTTGCAAGTCAGCAAAGTATGCAGGGACTGGCCCATGTGACTCCAAACTCCACTTTGCTGTAATTTTCCACAGTAAGGACAAAGAGGTGTTCTTACATCTGGAAAAGACTACAAAAGGCTGATGCCTCTCCTCCATCTTGTCTTCAATCCTGCTTCTTACCTCTGGAGGGACTTTGCTACAAACTGAAGCTCTGAACAAAGGACTGAGGACCTATCCCAGCTGGGGATGTACTCCAGAGACTTGATTTTGAACCTGCAGTTTATTTCATCACTGCTACAAGCCTGAACCAAGAACTTTGCCATTACTGTATGTAATTGATTCCATTTAACCAATTCTAGCTTTCATCTATATCTTTTTTCCTTTTCTGAATAAACCTTTAGATTTTAGATTCTGAAGGATTGGCAACAGCGTGATTTGTGGGTAAGATCTGATTTGTATATTGACCTGGGTCTGGGGCTTGATCCTTTGGGATCAGGAGAACCTTTTTTCTTTTAATGGGGTATTGGTTTTCATAACCATTTGTCCCCATAGCGAGTGGCACTGGTGGTGATACTGGGAAACTGGACTGTCTAAGGGAATTGCTTGTGTGACTTGTGGTTAGCCAGTGGAGTGAGACCAAAGTCCTCTTTGTCTGGCTGGTTTGGTTTGCCTTAGAGTTGGAAAAACCCCAGCCTAGGGCTGTAACTGCCCTGTTTTAAGAGATTTGTCCTGATTTGGCACTCTCAGTTGGGTCCCGCCAGAACCGCATCATTACACAGGGCATGGGGTGTGGGGGGTGCAGGAGTCAGGGCAGGGTGTGTGGAGGTGTGGGCTCGGGTCGTGGAGGTGCTCCCAGCCCCATGTCCTGAGCGGCTCATGGCAGGGGGCTGGGGGGGGTGTATGTGTAGGGGAGTGCAGGGGCCCCGCCTTTGCTCCACCCTGCCCCGATTCCACCCCCTTCCCCAAGGCCCCGCCCCTACCTCTTCTCCACCTCCTCCCCCGAGAATGCTGCGGCTCCGCTCCTCCCACTCCCTTCCAGAGCGCCAGCAAACAGCTGTTCGGTGGCAGGGGAAGCGCTGGGAGGGGAAGGGGGAGGGGTGGGAACGCGGCACACTCACGGGAAGAGGTGGGGGAGGGGGGAGCTTGGGTGCTGGTGGGTGCGGCCGGAACCTACCCTGCAGCAGAAACCCCAGGAGCCAGCAGGACCAAGCTTCTGCCCCCGCAGGAGACAGCGGTGGGGGGAGAAGAGCTGGTGGGGCCTTACTGCAGCCCAAGCAGAGTGGGTTGGGCTGGGGCCCCTTTGCAGCCTGGGCCTGGCGCTATGGTAAACCCAGTACTGAGTAGAGGGGTGATGTATGTGTAATATGATGCTGTAAATGTGGTGTATAGATCTCTAAAGGTGGTGGGGAAAGCAATGTAAATAAACTACATGGTGGTGAACAACAATTGAAAGTCTCCAAGTAGTCTGTGTAGACACAGCAGAAGACAGGAGTGGGACCTTGCCCTGTCACAATTTCTTTGAGAACATAGTACTTGGGCTCTGTTGCCAAAGGGTGAATCACAGACAAAAAGAAAGGGACAAACCAATAAGAGGCCAGAACAAAAAGATAACGTACACACACACACACACACACACACACAGTGCTTGACATAGGAGGGCCGTACAAGCTTGCAGCACACCACATCATCATACATTTCTCTTGCCCCCAACCAGATAACTGTCAAGGAATGGCTACTGAATCTGTCATACTGATGTGATCTGAAGTCACAGCATTATTTGCCTGGATAAAACAGAAGTAGTGAAAATATAGAAAGAATGCTTACGTATTATAGCTGTGAATATAAACTTTGTGTAGGGTCATTTGCTGTAGTGAAAAGACATGAATTATTCTTCGGTGGAGCATGTCATTGGTCTCTGCAAAAAACTGGTCAAATCCCCAGCATTTTTCCTGATCTGCTTCAAGAATATTTGCAAGAACAGGCGTGAGCAGTACTTGCAGGCCCCTGTGGATACACAAAAAAGAGACACCACAAGTTGGAATGTTTCTCATTCTGACATTATATAAGATCTCCCTATTGGACAGATCACAAGTAGGACATTTTTGTGCTTTGAGAAATTCTACAAACTTCCTTTCCTTTACTGTTTGACAGTTTCTGTTCAACAACATTGCCCAGTGTTTTTCCTGAATAGGGACATTACATACCATAATCACTTTTTCGAAATTTGAGTACCAAATATTTTACCTTTGTAATTTGGCAAATATTGAATCCTAATTTCTTCATGAAGGCAGGGATGGGGCAAGAAGCACTCAAAGAAATGGTCGTAAGTAAACAGGATGAATTCAATAAGGACAAATGCAAAGTACTCCACTTAGGAAGGAACAATCAGTTACACACATACAAAATGGGAAATGACTGCCTCGGAAGGAGTACTGTGGAAAGGGATCTGGGGGTCAGAGTGGATTACAATCTAAATGAGTCAGCAGTGTAGCACTGTTGCAAAAAAAGCAAACATTATTTTGGGACGTATTAGCAGGAGTGTTGTAATCAAGACACAAGTAGTAATTCTTTTGCTCTACTTCGTGCTGATTAGGCTTCAACTGGAGTATTGTGTCCAGTTGTGGAGGCCACATTTCAGGAAAGATGTGGACAAATTGTGATACGATTTAGTTGGGGTTGCTTTTACTTTGAGCAGGGGATTGGACTAGATGACCTCCTGAGGTCTCTTCCAGCTCTAATTTTCTATTATTCTAAATTGGAGAAAGTCCAGTGAAGAGCAACAAAAATGATTAAAGGTCTAGAAAACATTACCCTATGAGGGACTATTGAAAAAACTGGGTTTGTTTAGTCTGGAGAAGAGAAGACAGAGGGGGGACATGATAACAGTTTTCAAATACATAAAAGGTTGTTACAAGGAGGAGGGACAAAAAATATTCTCCTTAACCTCTGAGGATAGGAAAAGAAAAAATGGGCTTAAATTGCAGCAAGGGTAGTTTAGGTTGGTCTGGGTAAGGATAAAAAGGGTAAAAAAACCAAGGGTGATATCATGGTAGGAGTCTACTACAGACCACGAAACCAGGAAGAAAAGGTGGATGAGGTTTTTTTTAAACAACTAACAAAATCATCCAAAGCACAGGACTTGGTGGTGATGGGAGACTTCAACTAACCAGACATCTGTTGGGAAAAAAAGACAGCAGGACACAGATTATCCAACAAGTTCTTGGAATGTATTGAAGACAATTTTTTATTTTGGAAGGTGGAGAAAGCTACTGAGGGGAGGCTGTTCTAGATTTGATTTTGACAAATAGGGAAGAACTGGTTGAGAATTTGAAAGTGGAAGGCAATTTGGATGAAAGTGATCATGAAATGGTAGAGTTCATGATTCTATGGAATGGTAGGAGGGAGAACAGCACAATAAAGACAATGGATTTCAAGAAGGCAGACTTTAGCAAACTCAGGGAGTTGGTAGGTAAAATTCCATGGGAAGCAAGTCTAAGGGGAAAAACAATTGAAGACAGTTGGCAGTTTTTCAGAGAGACATTATTAAGGCCAAAGAGCAAACTATCCCATTGCATAGGAAAGATAGGAAGTATGGCAAAAGACCACCCTGGATTAACCAGGAGATTTTCAATGATCTAAAACTCAAAAAAAGAGTCCTACAAAAAGCGACAGGTTTCAGAGTAGCAGCCGTGTTAGTCTGTATCGGCAAAAAGAACAGAAGTACTTGTGGCACCTTAGAGACTAACAAATTTATTTGAGCAGAAGCTTTCGTGGGCTACAAAAAGTGGAAACTCGGTCAAATTACAAAGGATGAATATAAACAAATTACACAAGTATGTAGGGACAAAATTAGAAAAGCCAAAGCACAAACCGAGATCAAACTAGCTAGGGACATAAAAGGAAACAAGAAAACATTCTACAAATACATTAGAAGCAAGAGGAAGACCAATGACAGAGTAGGCCCGTTACTCAATGAGGGGGGAAAGACAACAACAGAAAATGTGGGAATGGCAGAGGTGTTTAATGACTTCTTTGTTTTGGTTTTCACCAAGAAGGTTGGTGGCGATTGGATGTCTAACATAGTGAATGCCAGTGAAAATGAGGTAGTTAGTATCGAAGTCTAAAATAGGGAAAGAACAAGTCAAAAATTACTTAGACAAGTTAGATGTCTTCAAATCACCAGGACCTGGTGAAATGCATCCTAGAATACTCAAGGACCTGACTGAGGAGATATCTGAGCCATTAGCAATTACTTTTGAAAAGTCATGGAAGACGGGAGACATTCCAGAAGACTGGAAAAGAGCAAATATAGTGCTCAATCTATAAAAAGGGAAATAAGGACAACCCAGGGAATTACAAACCAGTCAGCTTAACTTCTGTACCCGGAAAGATAATGGAGCAAATAATTAAGCAATCAATTTGCAAACACCTAGAAGATAATAAGGTGATAAATAACAGTCAGCATGGATTTGTCAAGAACAAATCGTGTCAAACCAACCTGACAGCTTTCTCTGACAGGGTAACAAGCCTTGTGGATAGGACAAAAGCGGTAGATGTGGTATATCTTGACCTTAGTAAGGCTTTTGATACTGTCTCACATGACCTTCTCATAAACAAAATGGGGAAATCCAACCTAGATGGAGCTAGTATAAGGTAGGTGCATAACCGGTTGGAAAATCGTTCCCAGAGAGTAGTTATCAGTGGTTCACAGTCATGCTGGAAGGGCATAATGAGTGGGGTCCTGCAGGGATTGGTTCTGGGTCCAGTTCTGTTCAATATCTTCATCAATGATTTAGATAATGGCAAAGAGAGTACACTTATAAAGTTTGCAGACGATACCAAACTGGGAGGGGTTGCAAGTGCTTTGGAGGATAGGATTAAAATTCAAAATGATCTGGACAAACTGGAGAAATGGTCTGAAATAAATAGGATTATATTTAATAAGGACAAATGCAAAGTACTCCACTTAGGAAGGAACTATCAGTTGCACACATACCAAACTGGGAAAGGATTGTCTAGGAAGGAGTACTGTGGAAAGGGATCTGGGGGTATTAGTGGATCACAAGCTAAATATGAGTCAACAGTGTAACGCTTTTGCAAAAAAAAGCAAACATCATTCTGGGATGTATTAGCAGGAGTATTGTAAGCAAGACACGAAAAGTGATTCTTCCGCTCTAGTCCGCGCTGATTAGGCCTCAACTGGAGTATTGTGTCCAGTTCTGGGTGCAACGTTTCAGGAAAGATATGGACAAACTGGAGAAAGTCCAGAGAAGAGCAACAAAAATGATTAAAGGTCTAGAAAACACGACCTATGAGGGAAGATTAAAAAAATTAGGTTCGCTTAGTCTGGAGAAGAGAAGACTGAGAAACATCATAACAGTTTTCAAGTACATAAAAGATTATTACAAGGAGGAGGTAGAAAAATTGTTTTTCTTCAACTCTGAGGATCGGACAAGAAGCAATGGGCTTAAATTGCAGCAAGGGCAGTTTAGGTTGGACATTAGGAAAAACTTCCTAACTGTCAGAGTGGTTAAACACTGAAATAAATTGCCTAGGGAGGTGGTAGAATCTCCCTCATTGGAGATGTTTAAGAGCAGGTTAGGCATACACCTCTCAGGGACGGTCTAGATAATACTTAGCCCTGCAATGAGTGCAGGGGACTAGACTAGAAGACCTCTCGAGGTCTCTTCCAGTCCCACAACTCTATGATTCTATGGAAATTTCAAGTGATTACTTTAAAGTGGGGCAGCAGCCATCTTAAGTACACCTCTACCCCGATATAACGCGGTCCTCGGGAGACAAAAAAATCTAACCGTGTTATAGGTGAGACCGCGTTATATTGAACTTGCTTTGCTCCCCCCGTTCCTTGTTCCCTGACCGCCCCCCTCCAGAGACCCTCGTCCCTAATCACCCCCAGGATCCCACTCCCTACCCAACCCCCCTGCTCCCTGTCCCCCGACTGCTCCGACCCCTATCCACACCCCCTGCCCCTGACAGGCACTCACCGGCAGCAGCGGAAAGCAGAGCAACACGGCCCCAGCCCGCTCCACTCCGCCACCTCCCAGCTGCGGTGCTCCGCTTCCTGCCGCCAGTGAGTGCGGGGAAGTTGGGGAAAGGACGCCCCCCCGTATTCACCTGCAGCGGGAAACGGAGTGCTGCGGCTGGGAGCTGGTGGAGTAGAGCGGGCTGGGGCCGAGCTGCTCCACTTCCTGACACCGGTGAGTGCGGGGAGGTTGGGGAAAGCACGCCCTCCGCACTCACCGGTGGCAGGAAGCGGAGCATGCGGTCCCAACCCACTCCACTCCGCCACCTCCCGGCCGCGGCTGAGTCGGAGA